CATTAGTTTCAAACTTGACATTGAATCATTTATCACAAAATTGACTAATACTCAAAAGATTATGCTTTAATCCATTCACATATAAAACATTCTTAATTTGTATGGAAGAGGTATTACCTATAGTGCCTATACCTTCAATGTGACCTTTTGAATCATCACTAAAAGTCACTTCTCCTCCATTTTTGGCGTTAAGCTCAATGAACCGATTTTTGTCACTGGTCATGTGTCTCGAGCATCCACTATCAAGGTACCATGAATTTGAATTCCCGTGCCTTGTAGCAATGCTCATTTTCCTATAAACATAGATTAATTTTTGATTTTTGGTACCCAAATTCTTTTGGGTCCATATTCATTAGTTTCCAAAATCCTAGTCCCCTTAGGTATCCATTTGTGTAGGATATTTTTATCTTTAGTAGTAATGAGTTCTTTAGGAACCCACATACTTCTAATGATTTTTCCATTAGAGGTTCTTCGGGGACCTTTATGATTATAGTTTTTAAAACTTTTTCTAACAAAGTTGGATTTTGAATTTTCTCCTTTTTCAAAACGTTTTGTTCCAACTTTATCAAAAGAAGCTTTAAGATCATCAATTTTATTTTGATGATCATCATTGACCTTTGAAAGTAAATTTTGCAAATCCGAATTTTTCTTTTCAAACTCTTCTAGTTTGATTTGCAAATCTTTGATTTTACTTTCAAGATCGTTGTTGGTTTTGGATATGAGTTTATTTTCATTTTTCAATTTTGAAATATCATTTTTATGTTTTAAAACAATTTCTCATAATCCAAAGCCAACCCATTATATTCCTCTAATAGCTCATCATAAGATAAATCATCAAAATCAGATGAGTTAGATGTTACCTTAGAATCTTCCCCGAATGCCATCAAGCACAAGTTTGCTACTTCTTGTTCCTCTTCATCGGAACCTTCTTCATCGCACCATGTAGCCAAATGAGCCTTGTGCTTATTCTTTGACCCTTTCTCTTCAATTATGGGCAATCATATTTGACATGCCCCGGCTTTTTGCATTCATAGCAAATGATCGGGTCCTTATCTTTTGGTTCATTTTTGAGGCCTTCATTTCGTTTGAATTTTCTTCCTCGGTAAGGTCTCATCATTTTTCTGAACCGTTTGGAAAACAATTCCATTTCCTCGTCATCATCATCTTCATTCGAATCACTCTCATCTTTTGTGGATTTGAGAGTAACTCCAATGTTTTTCTTCTTCTCCTTCTCCTTCTCCTTTGGTGTCTCGTCAATCTTATCAAGGTCCACCTCATCTTCAAGCATCATTTCATGAGTGAGGAGGGAACCGATTAGTTCTTCAAGAGTTTAGGTCCTTAAACTCGATGATTGTCATCTTCTTTGATTGCTATGATTTTGTAAGGGAGTAAACTAACTTCCTCACTAGCTTTTCATTTGAAATGATCTCTCCATATGATTTGAGACCATTGACAATCGTTGAGAATCTATCCATCATAGCTTTGATATCTTCATTTGGTTTTCATCCTGAAATTTTCATAGCTATGCGTTAGGATACTAATTTAGATTTCTTTACCTCATCGGTACCTTCATGAGTGACTTGAAGTTTGTCCCATATTTCTTTGGCGGTTGTACAAGATGAAACTCTTCCGTATTCATCTGGTCTAAGAGCACAAAAAATGATATGGATGGCTTTGGAGTTGAGCTGGAACATTCTTGTCTCTCCTTCACTCCACAATCTTAGATGAGTGAGAGGCTTGTTGTATCATTCTTCTAAGGCATTCCATGCTCCCATGTCACTTGCTTGAATGAAGTACATCATCCTATTATTCCAATAGGCATAGTTAGCTCCATTGAAGAAAGAGGCTTGTTGACGGAAATCGAATCGAGATCGGAATCAAAATTTGAAATGGAGACCATTGATGACTTTGATTATCAATGTAACTCTTCCCGAATCAACTCAAGAGGCGATTAAACCTTCAAATGAGTTAGGCTCTGATGCCAATTGTTGAGTTAATCGATTGACGAAATCGGCCAAGAGGGGGTGAATTGGCAATTAAAATTTTGTGGAAGCTTTTGCAGAAAATTAAAAGTAATTGCACAGCGATTTAGAGTGATTCGAATTTCTCAATCAAAGTCTACGCCCACTACCTTAGCTATCCACACTAAGGATTTTCCAACAAATTCACTAATTTGTTCTTTCTTTTGAGGCCAAAGAGATAACCTTACAATACCCTCAAGAATATACCCCAATTCTTGAGAACACTCTTTCCCAAAGAGAAGATTACAAATTTACAAACTTACAAGGAAATCCTCACAAGGTAGATTGTTTCCACAATTCTAGAACAAAGAAAAGAACACTCAAGAATGAATAAAATTGAGCACAATAAGTGTTCTTGAAAGCAAAATGAATATTGAATGAAAATAGGCTTGAAATGCACAAACTTGAGGTTTGATGTTTTCTCTTTGATTCTCTCTTGATTCTAGTTGCTTGTTGTTTCTTGTTGTTGATCAATGGCTTCTGAGCTTGCTTAAATACACCTTGAATCACTTCTGAATGTTGGAGATCATTAATGAAGTTATTGGAGCCGTTTAAGTGTGAAAACAATTAATATTTCTGCTTAGAGAGTGGGGGGAATCGGTACCCGTCTCATGGGGAATCGGTTCCCTAAGTTTAAAATTCAAATATTCGACCGTTGAACAGTGGGGGGAATCGATACCCCCTGGGGGGAATCGGTTCCCTCCTAGCATACTGGAATTTCTTGGAGCCAAACCATTCAGGGGGGAATCGGTACCCCCTTGGGGGGGAATCAGTTCCCTCTGGACAAACTGTAATTTTTGGCTTTGAAACGGTTCGAAATACATTGTAAAATTGTTTTGAAATTATTTTAAGATTAAAACTTAATTTTACACTTTAGTAAGGATTTAAAATGAACTTTGAAATACTTTGAGTAATATTTTGGTATTCGATTTAATATATAGAATATGCTTAGAAAAATCATTTTGAAAATTAAAAATCTTTTAATTTAATTTGTTATATCGAAACATCAAAATGTTTTCAACAAAGTGAACCTACGACTACACCATTAGACCTACCCATGTTTGTGTATTAATGTACTTGTATGTTCATGACTATACTTGTTCGCATGCTCATGTAATGAATGTATATAGTATAATAAAGTATTCAAACAAGGCTAGTTTTATGTCGCCCTAATTTATCTCATTTCTAATTGTAATTAAGCAACATTTTTGTTCTCACTTGTAGTCTTATTTGAGAGAAAATATAGAGCTTTTGGGAAACCTCATGTCTCTTTAAAGCCCTTAACATTTATGCCCCAAAAATGTACTCACGTATGAATACTAAGCCTCTCGATATTGATATTACCTCTCAAGTATCGATACTCCCCCAGGTATCGATACTTACAGCTAAAATATATTAAATGAAAAACAAGTAGTATCGATACTCCTATAGGGATTATCGATAATGCACCCTTGGTATCGATACTCCCTTGAGTACCGGCACCAAAAATGGACACTAGAAAATGGGTCTCGATACCAACTCATTGGGTCTCGAAACCGGAACCCCAGTATCGATACTCCTTTAAGAGATATCGATATTGCCCTTATGAAACTCTTTTATTTTCGCTTTGAATAAGAACATTATCGATACTATAAGAATAATATCGATACTCACCCTAAAAAATGTCCTATTTGGGCACGAATTGGCCACTCAAACTCCCCAAATTTGCTACCTTGAGGTTCCCAATTAGTATTTAAGTCTTATGTGATCATAGGGGGTCATAAATAATGCTTTAAAAATGCTAAAACACCATTACAAAGAATCTACTATGGAAATTTTACCTAACATGCTTCAATCTCAGCTCTTAAGCTAGATTGCATTTCTAATGACCCACAAATGATATGAAGGAGTTGTAAATGTGTTTTGATTCCCTCGCCGCTAAAGTCTCCCCCAAATCAATTATGAGTCACATTTTCTTTCCCTTTGCTTTGGAACTCTCTCCTATCTCTTTCACTAAATAAGGTAAAAATGGATTATTAACTCAACTAGGTGTTTAATATAAAATAAATACATTCCCTATAACTCAAATCCACCAAAGAGAGCTAAAATCACTTGATTCCTCTAAAACTCCTTAAAACCGATTTTTGGAAACTAATACCAAAACTTGAGTTTAGGGGCTTAAAATGAAGCTTGAATGGTAGGATTAAATTCTTACCTTGGTTAACTCAAACTAAATTTAAAATTCCAAAAGTTTTTACCTTTTGCTTACTATTTAGAACTTTTGCTTACTATTTAGAATAAAGAAGAAGGGATAAAATAAGAAGAAATTGAAGAGTATTTGGGTGGGTCGGAACACGTGAAAATCACTTAAAATGAGGGATTTTCATCATTTAATTCAAGAAATGGGTAAATTATACTTTTGGTCCATCTTCCCTTGACTCCCATTAAAAACATTGCGCATATTTAACTCTTGGGGCCAACTTAAGCCCAATCCCAACTCAAGTTGGTCCAACCCAATTTTAAAAGGTCTATTGTCTCAACTTATGGGTCTCAGAACTATTGACTTGGAATTTGAGGTGTTATATAATGAGAAAATTAACATCGTTGACAACTTAGACACTTAAAGTGATGAATCATTTGTAACTTTAGGCACAAGATAAATTAAAAAATACTTTAAGTACCTATTTATGAAAAACGGTATAATTTATACACTTATTTTATATTTATGCCAAAGTAAAATTTGTTTAAATTCAATACCCATGACACAATCCCACTTTCTCATTAAAATTTATTTTATTATATATGAAATATATATGCTAAATTCAAATTTGAACTAACCTAATCTCAAGGTTTTAGAACATGAATAGTAATATTTCTTTGTTCTTATAATTCAGTTATTAAAAGATAGAAGATATAATTGCTCACTTACTAAAAAATGGGTATAAAAGAGAAAAGAGAACAAGGCCACAAATCAAGTTGAGGCATTCCCAATCTTACATTTTTAATTATTTATTTGAACCCGAGGCTGCTCATCTCTCCAACTTTTTGGGTTCGAGTTGTATAATTTACATGCATTTTTAATGTGTGCTTTCCATAGTACAAAAACAACTTAATCTAATTAAAACAAAATTCTAAAACTAGTAGTAAAAATACAAAGAAGAACAAAAGCGGAATTCATCTTCATTCTTACACATGCGATTCGGCCCATCCTTCTTCGAAGTCCGGTCTAATTCTCTTCCTCAACCTCATCGCACGTGCCAGCCTCTGCTCCACGGCCACGATCACCTTACCCGGCACGCTGGACAACTCCTCAATCATCCATAGATTCCGTCGCGACGTCAACGCCGTGTCCCGCGTCGACCTCAGCCCGAACCAAAACGCAGCCGCCACGCTAAGCCTAAACGGCAGTCCCTTCAACCGCTCTAAACAAAACCGCAACGCCGACGCCGCCGTCGCCGCAACGGAGTTCCGTTTCAACCCTAACTTCTTGCACCAAACCGTGAATACACCCTCGAAACCATTAGCATCCGAATCCGAAGATTCACGTACCTTTTTGGGTCTAACACCGTTGGAAGAAGATTCACTCGTAGACGAAGAATCAGAGGAAGGAGAAGGAGAAAAAAAAGTGGGTCTTTCAGAAGAACAAGCATTGCAAAGATGATGAGAAGATTGCCCCCATAAAGGGTCGAATTGAAAAACTGATTTACATTTCGAGCAGAGAATACAACGGACGTGACGAGCGACAAGGAAGTTGGCGTGGTGAACCTTGTGATCGCAGTTCCAACACAGAAAAGCAGAGTCTGCCCAGCAGTAAACGGAGGCCTCTTCTTTGCAAAGCTCGCAAAGGCTGCCTGTCTTCATGTTTTGATTCCTTTGTTTTTTATCAGAGAACAAAGGAATGTGAGGGAATATGGAGAAGAATATAAAGGGAGGGATAGATTTAGGGGGGGGGGGAAATAGATGGGAAAAGAAAAGAAAAAATAGTAAACGAGAGATTTTTGGGGTAGAGAGAAAGGCGGTGCAAAAGCAAACATTTTGCTTCAAGAGATTTAAAGAAACGGAGAGAATCTGTGAGGGTTTTTTTGTGGTTATTATATCATTAATTTATTTTACGGCAATCAATACTATTGGTTAGTGGTTTGTGTTGCTCCGCTTCCGTATTATATAAACATCGTTTCCCTCCTATCAAAAGCATCCTGATTATTCCCATTTTGTTTAAATATATTTTTTTTACCTAAACTCTAGCCCTACATTAATAATTAAATACGAAGAAAAATTGTACATTATGTCACTAAACTATTACAAGTTATAAAATCTGAGTTGTTTCATAAAAGTTGTATATTATCTCATTTGATTATTCATTATGTTCTAAATTCGTTATTTTCTATTAAAAAACGATTGTAGTCTGAGTTGTACATTAACCATCTAATTGAAATATGATAAATCTGATATCATATTCTTAAACAAATATCATATCTCAGTTAGTATGTTAACGTCTAACTTAGATAATTATTAATTTTTTAATAAAGAATAACGAGTTTGAAATACAGCGAATAGTCAAATGATCATTTTACTACTTCTAATAATTAAGAGACTTAACAAAATAACCTTATAATTAAAGAACTATTTTATAATTTTTAATAATTAAATTACTCATTAAAACTGTATCATATAGATTATTTGTGTATTTTATACTAAATATTAATTTGACGATATTATAATAAAAAGGGATGTGGTTGGACTGCAAAAATATCTTTGTTGTGGTTTAAACATTTCCAATGAAATCCAATTCGATCCTAACCAATATTTTCAGCAGACTACCGTGTCACCTCTCCTTCATTGAACTCGTGTCTATAATCCCCACACAAAACTTGGATCCTCTCTCTATTCCTCTCGTCAATAAAATATTTTATTATAAATTTTTAATGATTCAAAATGATTATGATATTATTTGTATTCAAATTTTTTTAATTTAGTGATTATATATATATATATATATATATATTATAGATATGATTATTTGAATTTATATATTTTTAAAAATAATTTTAATATCGAGAGTACTTAAATAGTTTACTTTATTATAATTATTTATATTATTATTGGACATACAATTATATGATATGAATATGATACAATAGTAAAAATAATTAAATTAATATAAAATATAAATTTAATACAAATCTATAAGTATATTAAATTTTGGCTTAATATATTTTTTAGTGTCTAAACTATATCTCAAAATACGATTTGGTGCCTAAAGATTTTTTTTTACTAACAATAGGTTCATGATGTTTCTAATGTTACAACTGTTAAATATGGTCGTTTTCTGACACGTGTCATGCATATAGAATTTCAAACATTATTTTATTTTACAAATTTTAATATTAAAATTTAAAAACTAAAAAAACCTTAAATTTTACATCTCCCGTCATCGAGCGGTCACCATAGGACTGTGGCTGTCACTATTAACACCATCAGAATAGTCTTGTCACCGCGACCAAAACCTATTCTCCCACCAACCTTGAAACTACATTGATTGTGGTGAAAACGTCGTGAAGAGTCGTTGGATTTTTAGGTTTTTCGTTAATGTTTGTTGGTGATTATGATTACTAGAGTTGTTGTACGTTACACAGCTGCCACTGTTGAGTTTCTCGTACTGCTCCCAAAAAAATTGGATCGGTGGTTACCCTTAATCGTCGGCAGTGGGGGATGGGAGGGAGAGGGACGACATGGGTTGGGGGTGGGTTGATTTTTTTAAAATAATATTTTTATTATTAAAAAAATATAAAGGTATTAACCTAAAAGTGTAACAGAGAAAACTATAAACACCTAAAAGTATAACGGAGAAAACATTAGACACTTATTATTAACAAAAAAATTCTTTAGGTGCCAAATTATATTTTGAGGTATAATTTATGCACTAAAAAATGTATTAAGCCTTAAAATTTATATCGTACAAATTTTTATAACATAAAAAATATAAAATTCTTTAGGATGTTTCATCTTTTTATATTTAATGTATTTACAAGGATGTATTTACAAGCTCTTAAGATAGGAGTAAGAAAAGATTATTATCACTTTTATATTGTGCTCTACATTTATATAGTTCCATAACACGTTATCAACACGATTTTGCTCATAAATGTTTTTCTTACTAAAGATCAAGTATTGTCTCTATCTAAAATAATTTTTATTTTTATTAAAAATGTATATCATTGAATGAAAGAATCATGTCGTCTTTACTTCTAAAAGTTTCTACAATTCAATGCTAAACTTAAATAGTTTTATTGTTTGATTTTCTTAAAATCATTAACTTTTGATAAAGTTTACGCCATTGAATAGTTTTAAATAATAAATAAAATTTAAACATTTCATGTTGTTTAACTTGCTTACTTTAATGTTCAAATTGTTGAACATTTATTTTGTCTTTGACCAATTTATTTATTGTTATGTTATTAGCATTTTATCATATTAAAGTTTACATGAATATATATTTAATAATAATATTTATCATTTATTTTAATTAGTTTATTTGTTTTAAAATAGTATATCAATGACAAATCTTGTAAAATTAGAATTCATGGCTCTAGACATTTCCAGAAATAACTATTTGTCATGGATTTTAGATGTCATAATTCACCTAGATAAAAATGGTCTAGGTGACACTATTAAGGAAGAAAATAAACAATCTACTCAAAATAAGGCTAAAGTCATGGTATTTCTTCATCGTCACCTCTATCAGGAACTAAAATCTGAATATTTGACAATTAAAGATCCCCTTGTTCTTTGGGATAATCTAAAGGAAATGTATGACCACCATAAAACCGTTACACTTCCTAAAGCTCAATATGATTGGTTGCATTTGAGATTACAAGATTTTAAATTGGTAAGCGAATATAACTCATCTATGTTTCAAATTACCTTACAATTGAATTATGTGGTCAGAGTATCACTGATGAGGATATGTTAGAAAAAAAATACTCCATTTTCACGAAAATTATATTGTCTTGCATACACAATATCTATAAAAAAAGGTTTTAAGAAATGTTCTGATTTACTATCTTATCTTCTTGTGGCTGAGCAAAACAATGAATTGTTAATGAAAATCATGTGACTTGTCCTACTAGTGTCAATCTATTCCCTAAAGTGAATGCAACATCTTATAGCGGAAAAAATAAAGGCATCACTAACAATGATGGTCGTGGTTATGGACAAGGTCAAGGTCATTATCATGGTCGAAGACATGGACAAAGTGGTCATTTTCAGAAACCTTATAACCACCAAAACTGGAATTATAAGGATAATAAGAATGATAAAGATCAGACTAAAGAAAGCATAATCTTTAATCTATCAGTACGGTGGTACAAATCATTGGTCTCATTCTTGTAGTACACCAAAGCATTTTGTGGACCATTATCAACAATAATTAAAAGATAAAGGAAAGAAAATAGAAAAAAAATTCTTTGAGGAAATGACAAAAAAGAATATGACATGGATGGTCAAGAACTTGAATGTTTCTAATTATATCATTGTTGGTCAAACTCACTTGAATGTAGTTGATTTCTTCACCACCCCTGAAGGAAATAATTGATATTTTAATTTAATATTTACAAGAATAATGTTTATGTCAATTTACTTTTTAAACAACATAGTTATTATGTTTTAAATTTTTTTAAAATACTTATATGTTTTGAATATTTTCATGATATTTATTTATTTTAAAGAATATGATTACTTCTCAAATACAATCTGTGATAAATGGTGAAGATTTATGTTTAGCAAATAGTGCAACTACTCATACTATACTTAAGCATAAGAAATATTTTCTCATTTAACAATGCAACAAGCTAATGTTAATATTATATCTGGAAGTACTAAAGCATAGAAGGCTCTAGAAGAGCAAACATACTATTGCCAAATGGAACTAAATTTCAAATTAAAAATGTGTTATACTCTCCAAAGTCTCAAAGAAATTTATTAAGTTTTAATGATATTCGTCTGAATGGATATCATATTGAGACTATAAATGAAGGACATATGGAATATCTTCATATTACGAGTATAACTCAAGACAATAAAATAAGTTTAGAAAAATTGACAACAATCTTTTATGGATTGTACTACACTAGAATTAATACAATTGAAGCACATGCTATTATAAACCAAAAGTTTACTAATAATTTTATTATTTGGCATGACCAATTAGGCCATCCTAATTCAATTATTATCCAAAAAACTATTGAAAATTCATGTGGTCATTCATTAAAGAACCAACAGATTCTTCAAAAAAAAATTCATGTAATGCTTGCTCTCAAGGCAAATTAATTATTCGACCATCACTAGCTAAGATAGATTGTGAATTTATTAATTTTTTGAAACGTATACAAGGTAATATATGTGGACCCATATAACCAACTTGTGGGCCATTTAGATGTTTTATGATTTTAATCGATGTATCGATTAAATGGTCACATGTATCCTTTTTATCAGCAGCAACCTGGCATTTGTGAGGTTACTTTCTTAGTTAATTAAATTATGAGCACATTTTCTAGATTTCCCTATAAAAACAATTTGTGTTTATAATGTTGGCGAATTTACTTCTCAAACATTCAATGATTATTGAATGTCAGTTGGAATAAGTGTTGAACATCATGTAGCTCATGTTCATACACATAATGGTCTTGCAGAGTCATTTATTAAACGCCTTCAATTAATTGCAAAACAATTACTAATGAAGTCAAAACTTCTAATTTTTGCTTGGGGTCATACCATTTTACATGCAACTTCATTAATTCGCATCAGGCCAATAAGTAATCATAAATTCTCCCTATTATAAAATGTTTTTGGTCATGAGCCAAATATTTTTCATCTTAGAAATTTTGGGTATGCGATATATGTTCATATTGCTCCACCACAACGCACAAAGATGGGTCCTCAGAGGAGATTGAGAATATATGTTGGATTTGAATCCCCTTTAATAATTAAATATCTTGAGCCTTTTACAAGGAATTTATTTACAGCTCGGTTTCTTGGCTGTCATTTTAATGATCAGTTTTCCCAACATTATGGGGGGAAATAAACAATTGGGAAAAGAAATAAGTTGGAATGAATTATCATTATCTCATTTCGATCCACGTTCCCAAAAATATGAACTTGAAGTTCAAAGGATAATTCACTTACAAAAATTAGCAAATCAACTATCAGATGTTTTTACTGACCCTAAAAGAGTGACTAAATCACATATACGAGTTGTGAGTGCTCGAATTAAAATTGATGTCCTTTCGAGACAAACTGTAGTTACTAATGAGTCGCTGGTACGCCTAAAACATGATAGATATGTAGGTTCTAAGGATAAAAATCATTGAAAAAGAAAAGGAGCTATTTCTAATGATGGTCTGATCAAATCTAAAAAGTTTCTAAAAGATATTAAAAGATCTCTAGAAGATAAATTTAACATGACTTAGAAACCTAATAATGAAGGAGGTGTCAATAAATTATGCCATATCTTGTAATAAGTGGAACCGAAATCAAATCAAAATTGATGATTTATTTTTAAAACCCCAAGATTTTGTTTAATGACTAAAATTTAAATTTTGAAAGTTTAGTAGCCAAAGTATAAAGTTGGGAAAAGTTTAGGACCAAAAAGGTAATTTTCAAAAGTTTAAGGGCTAAAAGTGTTATTTTAAAAAGTTGGGTGTTTTGAACCTAGTTCACCCCCAAAGAAAGATGTTTTGGTGGGAATCAGATTTTTGATCTGGAATTTATGTTAAAAGCTATAAAGTGTTCAAGTTCGGTAAAATTCAGTAAATCTGATCGAATAAAATTTTAGAAAATTTGAAGATATTAAATTAAGATTAAGAATATTATTTCAACATTTTAAAATGATGAAAAATAATATGGATCATTGAATTTGAGAATTTATTTTCATGTTCAACATAGACCGTTGGATGAAAATGACAAGATTGAAATTTTTGGAAAGTTGCATGGATAAAGTTCTCAAGGGAACAAAATTTTGTTCATCTTTGACTTTGGAAGATGATAACCAACATGTGGCTTGGTATGGATGTAATTATCATGTTTCATTCATGGTAAAATTATCATTTCCCTTTAAATGAATTTTAAATTCATTTAAGCTTAAATAAATGACAATTTAACATGAAATTCGCTAGAAATTTCATGAGAGATGTTCATCTTCATCCTTTTGGGTGTGAACCATAAACCCTAGATTATGATTAAAATCAAGATCAAACAATATTAAAGCTAAGAAGAAGCTTAAGGATTGTTGAGTGTAGCTGATGTGTAAAGTTGTTGATGTGTAAAGCTGACGTGTATATGCAATTGTAATTAGTTGCTAAGTTTGTTAGTTTGTTATAGCTGAGTGGTTAGATAGTTATGGTTGGTTGCTTGTTATATAATGGTGCATGAGCTATGAATAATACACATCAATAATAATCTTTGATTCTTCTTGTATACTGGTTACTTAACATGGTATCTATCGCTATAAGTCCTGGAGGATTTGTTTCTACTTCAAGAATTGCTAAGCTTGGTAGTTTTGATTTCCATGGTTGTTGGTGATAATCTTCTCTTTTGAGCAGAATCAAGATGTTTACAAACAAGAAGGTTAATGTTGTGCTTGATGAAGCGAATTTCTTGCTCTAGAAGTAGCAAGTGCTTCTCACAGTAATGAGTCACTGGCTTGAACGACTGTTCACTGGTGCATTAAAGCCTCCACCAGAGTTTATGGCTACTGAAGATGGGATAATGGTTCCAAATGAAGATTATGAAGGCTTTATAGCTCAGGATAGTGCGTTAGCATCATGGTTGTTATCGAGTATCAACCCGCATTTACTCTCCCAGTTTGTTGGAGTAGAGACTGCATAGTTTGGAATACATTGCTGCAAATATTTGCCACAAGATCATCCATAACTGTTATGAATCTTCACTGTAAACTACAGTCTCTCAAGAAAGATGAAGATCGCATGCGTGTGTGCTTATCTCTGGTTAAAGAAATATGTGATGCCTTAACATCCTATGGTAGTGTTGTTCCCACAGTTTGTCATATTGCAAGCATATTGAAATGATTACTTCGAGAGTACCAGTCTTTCATGGAAGTTATAACTACCAGTGGTGACTCTATTTCCTTGGAAAAGGTGAGCATAATTTTGATTAATGTTGAGACTCAGTTAGCTGGTTTTGCTGCTCAAGAAGATTTAATGCTGACAAGTGCTCATGTTGCTCAAGGACCAGAAACTGTTAAGACTAGCTCTAACTTGTATAATTATTGGTCAAATCATTCCTCGTATTCTTGAAGAAAGACTGGTGGACGAGGTGGCCGTAGTCGTGGCCGATCGCGTGTGCAATGTCAACTGTGTGGGAAACCTGGTCATCTTGTTGATAGGTGTTGGCAACACTTTGATGAAGATTTTCATATTGTATCTACTAATGTTGGTCGTTCTCAGTATGCAAGAGATACAACCAATGTTAATAACGTCTCTTATGACAAAGCTAGTTGTGACTGTTGTTTGAATGAGACTCGAAGACAACTGACAACAGAGAGTTCTTCTCAGGCTTACTCAACTACTAGTTCTGCTCAAGATCAATGGGTGGTGGATTTTGGAGCCACTCATCATGTGACACACAACTCTGGTAATATTACTCATAGACCAGAGCACGGTGCTCTAGGTAAGCTTATTGTAGGTAATGGTGTGTCTCTGCACGTTAACATGATTGGTGATGGTACTCTAGTGACACTATTTAAGTCTTTGCTATTAAATGACTTACTACATGTGCCTAGAATAAAACAGAACCTTCTCTCGGTGTCCAAGTTTGCTAGGGATAATAGTGTATACTTTGAGTTTTATGATCAAGGGTTTTGTGTTAGTGATGTTGCTAGAAAAGAAGTGTTGTTGCATGGTCGTATTGAAGGAGGGTTGTATGTCTTCTCAAGAGAGAGTTTGTTAGGTATTTGTGGTAATTCTTCAACTAATTCAACTGTTGTAGTCGATGATTTTACTCTTTGGCATCAAAGATTGGGTCATGCTACCTATAGTACTATTGTAGATGTTTGTAAAACAATTGATGTAAATATTTCTAAAGCAATAAATAAAATGTGTAAAGCTTGTTGTGTTGGCAAGATTCATAAGTTGCCCTTTTCTAATTCTTGTATAGTGTACAATTCACCTTTCCAACTTGTATTTACTAATATCTGGGGACCATCGAATGTGGTATCTAATGGATATCGATATTACTTGTCTTTTTTTGATGCCTACTCTAGACACTCATGGGTGTATTTTTTGAAGGATCGATCACAAGCTGTAAGTGTGTTCAAGTTGTTTCAGCAAATGGTGCTGACTAAATTTGGTGTTACCATCAAAGTTGTGCAGAGTGACTGGGGTGGAGAGTATCGAAGTCTCTCTTCTGTTTTAGCTAAGGATGGTATATCTCACCGAGTAGTTTATCCACATACGTCTGAGTAGAATGGGGTGGTTGAGAGAAAACACAAACACATTGTTGAGCTTGCCTTGGTACTCTTAGTTCAGGTTGCAATGTCTTTACAGTACTGGTATTATGATGTTGTCACTATAATTTATCTCATCAATCGTCTTCCAACAAAGGTACTGAGTGGGGTATCTCCTCTAGAGAAGTTATGGGGAAAGAAACCTGATTATAGGTTCATGAGGGTGTTTGGCTGCAAATGTTTCCCACATTTTCGAGTGTTTCAAAGACATAAGCTGGAGTTTCGGTCTCACCCATGTACGTTCTTAGGATAAAGTCCACAACATAAAGGCTACATGTGCTTAGCCAATGATGAGAGAGTTTATATCCCTCGGTATGTCGTGTTTGATGAGTCAATTTTTCCATTTGCATGTGATATAGCTCATCATACAACATCTAATGATTTTGCTTCAAAATATGGTGCTATTGAGATTGTTGTTGATGTTAATAAGTTGCATGATATGAATAATGGTGTGTGTGGTCTTACTATACCTATTGAGTCATGCAAAAAAGTGACACGTGGCAATGTGTCTGACATAGCAGGAGGAGAGTCCTTGAATATAGGTGAATGCTCAAGCTTATATTTGGGTGTTGATCATAATACTATTGTTAATAATTATATTGTTGTGGAGAATTGTGAGGCAACAATGAATACAAGTGACTCTCTTGGACAAGATGATGTGGAGTCCAGTGAGCAAAATAATGTGGAGTCCAATGGACAAGATCATGTGGAGCTCAGGATGAATCTTCATCCTATGCTTACCAGAAGCAAGTGTGGGATCTTCAAGCTTAAGGTGTATTCAACTGCTTATGCTACTATGAAACCTGTCAACGTACAAGAAGCTCTTCAGTTACCTCATTGGAGAAATGCAATATATGCTGAACTTTAAGCCTTGTAGAAGAATGATACTTGGCCTCTCGTGCCTTTGCCTGAAGGACGGTCAGTGGTGGGATGTAAGTGGTTGTTTAAGTTAAAAAAGAATCCTAATGGGTCTATCAATCGATATAAGGCTCGTCTTGTAGCCAAAGGGTACTCACAGGTACCAGGTCACGATTTTAATGAAACATTCAGTCCAGTAGTCAAGTTTACCACATTGAATATGGTCTTGGCTTTAGCTGTGACAAAGGGCTGGCAGCTACGACAGATTGATGTAAACAATCATTTTTTACATGGAAACTTGAGTAAATATGTGTACATACAGCAGCCACCTGGGTTTGAACAGAGGGCTCCTGATGGTACACCATTAGTGTGTAAGCTTCAAAAAGCCTTGTATGGCTTGAGATAGGCACCTCGGAGCTGACATAACAAGTTAAACCGATGTTTGTTTAATATTGGGTTTAAAGAATCCAAGGCAGATACTTCTTTGTTTGTTAGATGTGTTCAGAAAAGTTATGTGTACATGCTAGTATATGTGGATGATATAATAATTACAGGCGAGTCGGATGAACAGGTTGAAGAAATTGTGAAGTTGTTGGGAGCTGAGTTTGCATTAAAAGATCTTAGAGAGTTTAGTTTCTTTCTTGGTATTGAGATTCATCGATCTGGTGAAACATTGATCCTCAGTCAGCGAAAATTTATTGTGGAATTGCTAATGAAGACTAAGATGATCAATGTTGGAATTGCTTCTACGCCTATGCTGGTCACATCGAAGCTTACACAGGGTGATGATGGAGATCTGTTGACTGATGCATATGAATATCGCAGCATTATAGGAGCACTTCTTTATATTTTTCACACTCGCCCTGATATTTCATTTAGTGTTAACAATGTAACATCCTAAACATCGGGTCGGTGACCAAAAAGGAAAGAAAGAAAAATTAGTAGTTAAATTGTAATAAGTTGAAAAGTTTAAGGATTAATTTTGAAAATTATATTCAGGGCTTTTTGCAAATATGGAAGACTTGAAGGGTAAATAAGTCTTTTTGATGGAATGAATTAAAAACCCTTTTAGGGAGAGATATTTAACATAAGTTATTGAATAAGAAGGTTTCTGGAAGCTTGTATTTCTCTCATTCTTTCTCTTCTCGTTATCTCATCAAAGGTAAGTTCTTTTAAAAGTTGTTGGGTTCTTCAATTTTTGGTTTGGTAATGAAAGCTTGGGTGTTATACAAACTTAAGGAAGGCTTGTATAGTAGTAAAACAACAAGAGAAGTAAATTAAAGATGAATTTGTAAAATGGGTTTAGAAATGAAATTTTGATATGAAGTAGTTTTTGAAGTTTTATTGAGATATTTGACTTGTCAATGAGTTAACTAAAGGGTTAAGAGTATTAGAAATGATTAAGAGCTTGGTTGATAACATGGTATGATTTTTAGATGTAAGTGTTTTAGTGAGATTTTGTATGTTAAGGAGTAGTAAATGAGGACAAGTTGGTTTGGAAGTATAAGGGTGAGTTTAAAGACTTAAGGTGTGATGAATATAAGAGATTTAGGAGGATTTTTGTTTGTTTTCAAAGTGAAAATAGCCATTATGGGCTTCTAGTATCGGTACCGTTAGAACAATATCGATACTTCAAGGGTTAAATTTATGTATTTCTTAAAGGTAGTATCGATACAAGTTGAAGAGGGTATCGATACTGAGTTGGTAGTATCGATACCAGGGGATGGTATCAATACCATTTTTAAGATGCAATTCCAGAATGTCAGAATGGTATCGGTACCTTAAGGAGGTATCGATACCCTTGAAGGACGATATCAGTACTGTAGAGGTAGTATCGATACTTCTAGGCATGAACGAAAAGTTAGGGTTTCTTTCATCATATGTTATTCTGATTGGATATAATCTATTCGAAGAACGATATTGATTTTCGATTGTTTTGTGTAGTGATTGAACGTAATCAACTTCCAGTCAGCTCGACATATTAAGTACCGATTCAAAAGGGTTAAGGATTTTTCTTAGAACTTCAGTGAGGCAAAGGTGAGTGTAACTCATTGGTTTTATATTAGATTCAAGGGCGGCTTGCGATAAACCAACCTCCAAGTTTTCGATCGAAAACCTTTTAAATTCTTTTATGTTATATTTTACAATATTTTATGCAAATTATATTATTTAAACTATGCTTTGATTTTTATGAATGCATAACTATGAAAATTTGAAATGTGAAATGCGACTATGTGAATACAAGGATATGAGATGTGAAAATGCCTATGTGAACCAGATACACTTTGAATAAAGAATGATAAATAATTGTGTGGTTAAAAGCCCAAGGTATATGCATTAGGATTATAGGTATAGTTGGTATGCCAAGAGTCGAGGGTTTTATGTGGTCCTTCAAGACAAATATGTGGCACTTCGGTGCAAACCAATATGGTCCTTCGGGATAATTATGTGGCACTTTGGTGCAAATTACGAGTTGTGGTGACAACATTAGTGCACAACCTCAATGTACTCAAATACATAGAGTTCTCAGTGGTATACATTAGGTATTTGAAACAAAGCTAAACAAAGTGAATAATATACATAAGTATACCTTTTTTGATATGGAAAATAAGTTGAAATGCTTTATAAAATGCTTTGATAAAAACCAATAAAGATTTCGTTTAATAAGTTAGCACTATTAGTATTTACCTCACTAAGTCATCGACTTAGCGTGTGATTTCCTCATATATAGGTTTGAAGAAAGTGGAAGACTGATTGATTGAGGATAGCATACCACTTGAAGATCAGATCAGGACAAATTAAATGTAGGTATGTGTGTTAATTTTGTAAATTGTTGGCATGTATTATACATTTAATTTGAAATGCTCTGATCGATTTTGTAAAATCATATATATTTTATATTTATGTAAACTATCAAGATTTTGTGTAAATATGAATGTGAAATGTTTGTATTATTTAAGCTAAGGTTTATATCTTTTTATCTTGAATAAAAAAATTTAAAGTGTTCTTATATGTTAATTACATATGTTTTGAAAAATCAATGTGACACCTCGGATTCGTATCCGGGTCGGGTACAGGTTAGGGTTGTTACAAACAAGGTGGTACAGTATATGCATGCACCTAGGTGTGATCACTTGGTGGCAGTTAAACGCATTATGAGATATTTGGTTGACACACTTAAACATGGTTTGGTTATAACACCATCGGTGGCAGGTCTACATGTTGTGGCCTTTGATGATGCTAATTAGGGTGTAAATACAGACGATCAAAAGTATTTCTCAGGCAACTGTGTTTTTGTTGGTGAAAATTTGGTCATGTGGAGCTCTAAGAAACATAAATTTGTTTCCAGGTCTACCATGAAGGCTGAGTATAGAAGTGTAGCTAATGTTATTGCTGAGACAACATGGATAAGTGATTTACTTTTAGACATGGGGATTGTTCAATCTAAAACGCCTGTAGTATGGTGTGATAATAACAGTGCAGTGGCTATTACTGCAAATCCAGTTTATCATGCTAAGACAAAGCATGTTGAACTTGATGTTCATTTCATTAGGGAGAAAGTTGTTGCTCAGCAGGTCTTGGTAAACTACGTTCCTGCCATTCATCAAGTTGCAGACGACCTGACCAAGCCTTTATCTACAGTGTAATTTGAAATGTTTAGAGTAAAGGTGCATGTTCAGTCATTTCTCATGGAAGAAGGAAAAAGTGGGGAGAATGTTCAGTGTAGTTGATGTGTAAAGTTGATGATGTGTAAAGCTAACGTGTATAGGCAGATGTAATTAGTTGATAAGTTTGTTAGTTTAATATAGTTGAGTGGTTAGATAGTTATGGTTGGTTGCTTGTTATATAATGGTGTATGAGCTATGAAAAATACACTGCAATAATAGTCTTTGATTCTTCTTGCATACTGGTTACTTAACAAGGATGAAACATGAATTTCTAAGGAATCTTTGCATGCTAAGGACACCGGGTGAGTGCATATTTAATTTGTACTTATGTTATCGAACAAACATTGGCTTACAATGAGCCAGTGACAAAGTTACTATGGTAAAGAGTTACTCCTAAATGTTGTGATTTGTGATTCATGAATATATGTGCATTTGGTGAGCTAATAGAATTAGTGAACAAGCTGAAAATGCAAATTGGTGAAATCTGCCTAGCAATTTATGTTATGGATAATAAGTTTAGAAAATCACCATAAATTCTACAGAAATGATTAGAGATTAATTTTTATATTGTTGGATTTGTAGATCAATCTAGTTTTGTGTAAAATAAACGGCTACTGATTTTGAGGAGTATAAAAAGTTATAAAATTTTAATCGATGATAGGTCAGAAAATAAGGCATCAGATTCTGCTCAAAACAGCTTCTGTAAGTCAACTTTTAAAATTCACTATAAATTGTATAAATTGAACTAGAAGAATTTCCTTATATGTTTAGATTTGTATTCGAGTCTAGTTTCTAGTGGTATAAACAAAATAATTTATAGATTAATACATATTAATATTTATTTGAAGGTAGTGCAAACTGTCAGAATATGAAATTGTGATAAATTTTGGGATCGAACCAAATCGAAAGCAAATGATCAAGTTAAAGCTTAGTGAGGATTATATTTTTTTACTTATATATAAATATATCAAAGTGAGTGCAGTGCATGCATGACATTATGCATGGATGTTTTATATATCATTAGGAAGACTCACGATGAGTCTACCTTGTTTGCATTGGCATGATATTGATGTCATTTATCATATGATTGACATATTCTAAATATGTCAAAGGTTGAATATAAAATGCATTAATCACTGGTTGTTATATGGTGTTTATCATGAATATATACGATGTTTATTACAAATGTTATTTCGGGTATAAACTGCCTAATGTTAAATTATATTAAGATACACTACCATGGATGAATTAAATATAAACTATATGCCCAAGTAAGTCATTGAGGGGCAGAGTATAGTTGGCATGCCTTAGAGTGTAGTAACAGCTACATATCGGATTAGCA